GAGTTCATGACCTGAGCCAAAATCAAGAGTCTGACACTTAACTGACTGAACCACCCAGGCGCCCCATCTACTATATTTTTGGTTTCTAAGACCAAGGTACCTCCTTTTTTTCCTTCCTTGGCATCCAAATACTATTTTATGGATATATCACTATCTTGTGTCACTTTGAGAAGGTAATTTTTTGAAAGTTTTTTCTTTTGTTCCCTCTTATTCTTCTTGTCCCTTCAAGGTCCTCCCTCTTGCCCCAGTTTTGTTTTCATGTAAGAGGTTTTCCACAAATATCTAGTGAACTTCGTCTATTGTTTAATATTTAAAAGTGAAGCACTAAAAAAATGTATACTTAGTAAAGATCTAAATGGTCTGATACAAGCAAGGTACTTGCCATTTTTTTGGGAGAACCCAAATATCCAAGACTCTAGGTCTTTCCTCTTGGGTTTGTCAGTTTCTACAGAGGAGAATCCTTTGTTATTCTATGTTGTCAGCATTCTGGGAGCCAAAGAGTAAAGAGAAGAGAATTGGAGGGGTACAGGGAGGGAGGACCTTCTCACCATTCAGCATATACACTTTCGCTTAGTCCCTGTTTTCAGACTAGAGCCTTTTTTCCACCCTTTGTTGTATTTGGAGAGCCTGAGTTCTGAGCCTGACTATTCAGTCTTCCATTTCTCGCTAGGTTGAGGAGGAAATGGGTTTATAATACAACTACTCCTGATGTAAACTTTCAGGGAATTCTATCCATTTTAGGCCCTTTTCCTTACTCTTGCTTTGTGAGTGACCCAAAAACCTTCAAATACTGAGGGTTTCAATGTGTAGCTCAAAACGGCTTCCTCTGTAGTGGAATCCCTCTCTATAGGTACTTACATTTCAGCTTTGTCTACTTTGCTGTCAGTCTAACCATCTTTCAGTTTGCCAGCATCTAATAATCTGTTGCTATCTCTTGCCTGCTGTTGTCTCTTCTACAGTCCCCTTTGTTTGTTACTTCTTTACTGTTGTTTTAATGACATTTAGGGAGGAGTAGGGATAAACACATTTATTCATTCAACATTGTTTAGTGACTACTCACTATGCCCTTGGAATTATTATAGGCCTTGGGGGTACAATAGTAATAAAGAATTATAGAAAACAAAAACAAAGAAACATTTCTTTTCTCAGGAGCTAATATTCTTCTTAAGGGAGACAGATACACAGGTTAAAAAAAAATAAAGGTATTCCTTACCAAGTGAACTTTCAATCTCTGAATTTAAGAAACAAATAAATTTTTAGAATAAAATAAAATAAATTTTTAGAAATGTTTGTTATCTTAACTTCTGCTACTTTCTATCTGAAACTCAGGACCCAAATAGATTAGAAAAACAGATACCCCTTAATATGCCAATTCGTATCAGAATTAAGAACTTAAAAGATATAGATGACCAGGAATATTTGCATATAAGATTTGGTAGAGGTGGGAGTGGGCAGGAAGCCAAGAAAGGCCTCTCTAATGATACTAACCATATGGATACCTGCGAAAAGACAAGGGCATTGTGTACACAGTTAACAGTGCAAGGACTTGGGGACACAAGCGTGCTTGCCATTCTTGTGGAACAGCAGGGAAGACAGTGTGGCTGGAGTAGACTAAATAAGTAGGAGAGTAGTAGGGAATGATAGCAGAGAGAAAGCCAGGAGTCAGATCATATAGGACCAAGACTATGATAAAGACTTGCTTTATTCTGAATGAGAAGGGAAACCATTAGAGGCTTATGGACGTTGTGTTTTAAAAACATCACTCTGGCTGCTAGGGGTAGAACAAGACTACTGAAGGGGAGACAGAGTAGAAAGGGTGAGACTAGTTAAGAGGCTACTATAAAAATCCAGATGAGAAATTAGCATCTTGACACAATTCTTTTTGGTGGAAATGGTAAGAAGTAGTTAGATTCTCTGGGGCACCTGGATGGCTCAGTTGGTTGGGCGTCCGACTTTGGCTCAGGTCATGGTCTCACAATTTGTGGGTTTGAGCTCCGCACAGCTGTGCTGACAGCTCGGAGCCTGGAGCCTGCTTCAGATTCTGTCTCTGTCTCTCTCTCTCTGCCCCTCCTCCCTCACACTCCGTCTCTGTCTCTCAAAAAGGAATAAACGTTAAAAAAAAAAAAAGTAGTCAGATTCTCGATTTATTTTATTTTCTTTAAAAAAATTTTTTTTAACGTTTATTTATTTTTGAGAGAGAGAGAGAGAGACAGAGCATGAACGGGGGAGTGTCGGATAGAGGGAGACACAGAATCTGAAACAGGCTCCAGGCTCTGAGCTGTCAGCACAGAGCCCGATGCGGGGCTCGAACTCACGGACCGCGAGATCATGACCTGAGCCAAAGTCGGCCGCTTAACCGACTGAGCCACCCAGGCGCCCTCGATTTATTTTAAAAGTACAGCTGACATGCTTTGCAGACATGTAGGGTGGGGAAAAAAAAAAGAACAGTCAAGTATGACTCCAAAGTTTTGGGCCTGAGCAAGTGGAAAACTGGAGCTACAACTTTCCGAATTACAGAAACCAGGGAGAGCAGGTTAAGCAGGTTGGAGGGATGGGGGTGGATGAGGAATAAAACAAGTATTTGTTTTTCATAAATTTCAATTTAAGATACCCAGTGGACATCCAAGGGGAGATGTAGAAGGGGCAGGTAGGTATCTGAGTATGGATCTCAGGGGAGAGATCTGGGCTAGAGATATAAAATTGGGACTAGTCATCATATAGACAATATATAAAGCCAGGTGACTATATGCTATTACTTAGAGAATGAGAGTAGAGATAAAAGAGGCTTGAGTAAAACCCTGGATAACTCTGTAATTCACCGGTCAGAAATATGAGAAAGAGCGGTCATGTAGAAGAATCAAGAGAAAATGGGGTTTTAGAAGTTAAGTATAGAAAATGTTTCAAGATGGAAGCAGTGACCAGATGTGCCCATGCTACTGATAGGTTGAGCAGGAAGAGAAGGAGTTATTGGTTGTCAGTGGAGTGACTGGGGCAAAAGCCTAACAGACATGAGTTCAAGGCAAAATGGAAGGAGAAGTAGAAACAGCACAGAAAACTCTTTCAAAGAGTTTTTCTTTAAAGGGAAGCAACAGCTAGAGGGGAATGCAGGGTCATATGAGCTTTTGTTTTTAGACTGAAAGACAGATTTATATTCTGGTAGGAAGAACTGAGTAAAGGAAAATTTTGATGATACATGATTAAAAAGACAGAAGGGATAACTACAGAAATAAAGTCTTGGAGGCAGGCAGGATGGGATGAAATACATGAGGAGATTTTTTTTTTCTCATTATTTTCTAATTACCTAGGAAGAAGAGTAATGGGATCCACTAAATTGAGAAAGGAAGTTTAAGTAACAAAAGTATATAAATAAAGATTCAATCAGAATACAAGTTTATGTGAATTCTTCATCAGGACAGTAAAGAGTCATACCTTCCAAAGTTCCCTGACTCTTAATTAAATTAGGATTTACTGAAAAAGATTTATGCTATATTTTCATTCCTAAGAAATTCTTCAATCATGATAAAGTAACCAGTTTCAGGACCATAAATATTAACACAAGCCTCTTAAATCCTCATGATTCTCCCTTCATATCATTTAAAAGTGAAATTAAGTGAGGGATGTCTGGGTGGCTCAGTTGGTTATGTGTCCGACTCTTGATTCGGCTTGGGTCACGATCCCAGCGTTGTGGGATAGAGCCCTGGGTCACACTCTACACTGAGTGTGGAACCTGCTTGAGATTCTTTCTCTCTCTCCCTCTACCCTCCCTCTCCCCATTCATTCTCTCTCTCAAAAAAAAAAAAAAAAAAAAAAAAAAGTGAAATAAATGGCTTAACCTCTTTTTAAATATGTTCTCCTTTTCATCTTCTAAATATTTACACTCTTTTTTTCATTCATATTTCTCTCATGTCCTATCATTAGCAGAAACATTTATCACTAAGACTCTTACTATAAATCAGTATGGATCTAATTTTAGAAAAAAACATCCTGGACTATTTTTATCAATGAATGGAAGCACTAGCTTAATGTTGCCATTTTCATCTGTGTTCAATTTTAAATACAAACTGAAAGAGAAGGATGCCTTTCAAGATCCAATTATTTCCTTTATCCCGAATTGACACTGACTTATGAACTTCTTATAGAAATAAAAAAATCAAAGCTAATGCACCAAGATGATCTGAAAACAAGTAACCATAACAAACAACTTTCAACAAATACCAACTCAATACACCTGGAAAACCCAGGAATGTTGTTAACAAGAGAAATAGAATGAGTGGTAGACAATTATAATTGCTGACTTTAGAGAGTAACACCAGATACTAAATAAATTTGAATTCTAGACTGCCTGAATTAACAGGTGAAGAATGGAAAGAAAGCAGTCTCTCTAAACAAGGGGATTTTGTACTACTTTCTCTTTATTAGTTTCCAGGAGACTAGCATAATACTCACTTCTATTTTTTAATCTGTTCTCTCATTTAGCATTATCCATTCATTGCTTCCTAATCCTCTAAATTTGAGTGACTTAAGAAATTCCCAATTTATAACCATGAGAGAAAAAAGGAGGGAGGGAACACTTAAAATTATCATCTTAATTAGCCTGAAAAACAATTTAAAAAAAACCATGAGGAGAACAATGATGTTAATGAAGAGTATTATCTACATATATTAACACTGACCAGGTTCTAAATCTCTGCAATTCTAAGGGTGTACTTTCACAGAAAAGTCTAGAAAATGAGTTCTTGATTTTTCAATTGCATTATAACTTCAGTGAACTTCAACTCTAAAGCAGCAAGGACAACAGACCCTGGTTACTCCTAACTGAAAGAAAAGCAGAGATATTTCAATTGTATCCCTGTTTTTAGCTTAATATTAAGCATTAATAAACAGTGCTCGTTCAAAAAATACCACTATTTGTTTTATGATAGCAGTACTTTAACAATAGTTAACTAAAGGTCACATTTTTTTGTAATTTACTGATTCTTTATTTGACCAAAACAGCTCACCTGGCACAAAATATTCTGTTTGCATAAACCAATGAAATTCCAAATGAAATCCCAAGCGAATGGCCTTCAAGGTGACAAGGAAAATCAAATAGAGAACAGATACTGTGCCTGTGAGAAAAAATTCAGAAACCATTGATCATTTTTGTGTATTTTACAGACTATTTTAAAATTAAGCTTTGTTTCTATATTCTCAGCAAAGTTTGGAAAATTATTACCTTCATGGATTATGCCCACTAAAACCCAGGTGTGATCTAAAGAACAGAAACCAGCTATGTGAGTTTTCAGAAAACAAAGCAAAACATTATATAGTGGGCCTAAGAACTAGATGAAGGTGGCTCATATACTGAAGAAGGCAAGACTGTCTAATTTATTTATGAGTTAAGTGGAGGATACATGCAAAGAATTCATTACAAAACTGTATGGTTACATAGGAGAAAAAAACAACATCAAACTGACTCTTATTCTTTGTATTGGAAATATCAGAGATAGTCAATAAGCAGGAAAAGTCTGCCACAGTATTTACTGAAAGATGGTAAGAAAGTAGAGAAAGAAAAGTAGTGACTGTGGATTATAAACCTATTTGAGAAAGGTGATAAGCCAAATAATCCATGAACACTCTGATGTCGTATCTGGATAAGGTTTCAACTAGGCAGTACTACCTATTAGATGAAAAGATTACAGTTTCTACTCATAGGTATTTATACACAGGGTGAGGTGGACATTCACAGCTTCTGGTAATCTAGAAGTTAAAGAATTATTCCTTTAAGGAGTTAAATCCAGTCATTATGGAGTAGAGTCAGGGAATTCAAGTAGGTTTCTTTCTTTAAGAATTAGATAAAAATTTCTGTAAAGAAGCTACAGTTTTAAAAGAAAGGGAGAGTATCAAGAAAAAGGGCAAAAACAAAATATCCTTAAGGAGGTGGAAAATAATCAACCTGGTTACAAGTTTTGTGATTGTTTAACAAATATTTCTATAAATTTATATGCCAACTTTTAAAGATCTGTTCCATAGGAAAGTCGGCAAGCAAATCAGGAAACCACAAATGAGCTACTCTGGGTTTGCAGATTAGCTGATTCAGAAAGAATAAAAACAAGAGGCCAAAGCTTATATAACCACAACTTTTCATTCTCTGTGGGTGTCTATGGCAGTCTTGTAGTGAATCCTATTGTGAGACAGAGAGGTATAGAAAAATACCCTTACCTCATACTTTGGTTTTCTGAAACTCAAAAAGCTAGCTCCTTGATGTGATGAGTAATCTAATTATTTTATACTCTAGGGCCTACCAGGAGATCAGATCTATAGGGAGGAGGTGAAATCCTATGGTTTATTTGGGGTTATCAATTTTTTATGACTGTTATCCTTGTCTTTAGCTAACCAGATCTAAGCTTTCATTAGGGGTTCCTTTCACCGTCTAAAAGCTCAGTGTTGCAAAAGTGCTGCAAAAAAACAAAAAAAAATGTGAAAACATTCCTTTAACGATGCTAAAATTTCTGAAATTTCTTCAGTGATTTCAGAAATTTCCGTAAAACAGGGCTCACAGTAAGAAGTCTCTTCCTTTAAAGAGGCCTTTTCTCTCCAGTAGAGAGAAATCACTGAGGAGGATGGCAAAAGCAGAATAAAGCTGGGCAGGTTGAGTTAGATAAAAAATGATATCCCAGGTCGGAAGGTGATAATTCTGTGCTATACTTTTAAATAGAAACCGTAGGAAAAAAATATTCCATAACCTCCCTTAGTAAGTTCTAATGATTCTAATCCTTAGGATTGAGAATTCCTATAATATCCAGTATGGATCTCTCCTCCTGAAATCTTAATGTTTCCTTTAATTGTACCCACAGAAGAAATGAGGAATAGTGTTTCAGTAAGGATAGAACAGGAAATCCAGTAACTCATCTTTAAAAAAAAGAACTTGGACTTAAAATGGTCATCTACATTTTCCTCTGTGCCAAACTCCACAAAGAAAACCAAAAAGCAGGGTAACATACAAATGAACAAATTGAACATAGATGAACAGGCCTGGTGGGTAACTCCCCAGCCAGACAGTATCCACAGAATCCAACATGTACTCCACTACACAGAAGCTCTATAACACAATGCCTTGGCTTACCTAGGATATTAAATTTTGAAAAAAATGAAGGAGATTTGAAATTGAGCAGTGGCAGCAGGAGCCCTATGAGGTAAAAGGGCACTGTCTTAGACTTATTCCACCACTTTTCAAACTGCTGCAGTCCCGTGTCATTGGCATAGAAAATCATAGAGCCATTGTCAGGGTGGCCACCACTCCCAGCACTTGGACAAATCACTGCAACAGGAAAGCATCAGATAAGAGAAGACCACAGAGAACAGACAATGAGTATCCCAAAAGACTGACACTTGTTCTACCAACCTCAACTTGTCTCACGAATATTAAGTTTCCCCTTTCTGGAAAAAATGGAGAGTTATATTTAGATATAGGATAGGATTCTTTTATCTGCAAACAATTAAAGGTGGTAGAATCTTAGACAATTCTGAGGTATATCCTTAATTTGTATGGGAAGCTATAAAATATCCTACCAACTATCCTTTGGTTCCATTGCCAGAGAGAAAATTTTGGGATGAATGGTATTTGATCTCATTTATACAATGATGTAAGAAATATTGAGGGTGATTTGTTACTTTTATGTTAATAACCCACACAAAGGCCAAAGAGCAGGTTTCTTTTAACAAAATCTATCAGGTTGGAATAAAAAGTGGTCATCATTGAAACAGCTGACACAGTATTTCCAACACTGAATTGTTGGTTATAGCTTAAGAATCCTTGAATTCCAGCAATCTGGGATAATTCTCCTGTAAGTTTATCACATTTTACAGCAGCCTAAGAGCCTAGATGATATCCAGAGAAGTGGGAATTGAATGAAACATTTTTCCTAACACTGATCTTCAAATGGTAATTTCTTTTGTTGAGGAGAGACAATACACATCATTCTGTGTTTCTATTTTCACAATAGTACTTTTCCTAATAATCAGCTCTTTTTAAAAGAACTCTTAATGCTGGTGAAAAATACTCCTACTGAGCAACATTCATACTCATTACTAGTCAAAGAGAAAAAGATACATTCATTTTAAGTTCTGTTTTTAATTTTATTCTCTATCTGTTTCTTGGCATGCCACAAAGCTAAACACTTAGTTTTCTTGCTTAGTCAGCATTTTTATTTTTTTTAATGTTTATTTTATTTTTGAGAGAGAGAGGAACAGCACAGCTGGGGAGAGGTCTAGAGAGGGGGACAAAGGATCCGAAGCAGACTCTGTGCTGACAGCAGGGAGCCCAATGTGGGGCTCAAACTCATGAACTGTGAGATCATGACCTGAGCCAAAGTTGGATGCTCAACTGCTGAGGCACCCATTGTCCCTACTTAGTCAGCATTTCAACATGTATTTTTTTCTTTTATGTCTGGACAGAAGTAAATTAACTTGAATTTTTCTTGTGCTAGTAATTACAGTGGTAAAAAGCACAGGCTATGGAGATAAATTGACTAAATAACGAACCGTGACTCTGTCACTTAATACTTATGTAACCTTCGACAAGTCATTAGTTTCTCTGTGCCTTCCTTGGTTTCTGCATCTAGAGAGTGAAGCAAAGAGGTACTGTACAACATTTAGACAAATGCCTGCTACACAGTAAGTATCCAAAAATGCCAGCTGTAATTTTATATTAACTGAGATGGACTATTTCATACTCTTACTATTTAATACATTCTTCAAAATAAGCAGATGAATCAGGAAGTGCTAGTATCAACATACCACTATGGAAAGTAAACTTTGCTGATGGTGTTCTTGAAATCATCAGTGTATGAAGAGATTTTAAAATTATACCAAAATATTTTAGGATAATTATTCAAAGGTGTGTGTGCATGTCCAGAAAAAAGCTGGTACTTCACTCACTCATTTGCTAGTGTTAACAAAATACAGGTTAATAGGTTTAATTAAAGAGCAAAGTAAGATACTGAATAGTAAATACTGAAATGGTTGCTTCATGAGAGACTTTTGCCTGTTTCCTACATCCCCAAAGTCTAGAACAGTTCCTGACACAGGCTTAAAAAATATATATTGAATGAACTGTCTTCTCAGAGATCAGTGCATTCAGCCATCAAAATGTTATCATCTTGGGGGCTCCTGGGTGGTTCAGTCAGTTAAGCATCTCTGGATTTTGCTTAGGTCATGATCTCACAGTTTGTGAATTCAAGCCCTGTGCTGACAACACGGAGCCTGCTTAGGATTCTCTCTTTCTTCCTCTCTCTCTCTCTCTCAAAATAAATAAAAACTTTAAAAAAATTATATCAATTTGGTATCTCTGAAATCTAAATACATAAAAGCCTTAGGTGATGTACAAGTTTAACAGTGAGACTGTTAACAAGGTTATCATAGCTTTGTTATTCACCTGCCCTGTGACTGCCATCATGGATAAATCCACATGCTACAAAGATTTATTGTAAATAAATTAATTGAAGGAAACTTTTCTAAGAAATTAAGATATTTTTGCTAAGCCTTCAATTTATTTTTCTGTATATATTTACTAACCTTTGTTCATTATCAGGAAATTAATTATTCTGTAGCATACAGTTTTGTGTATCTTAAATATTAGTAACTAATACAATAAACATCTAAAAAATTTTACAAACTGAGAACTATGCTTTTAGACTTCTGAAACAATTAGCAGAGATAGAGGCTCTTAAAAACAAGTATTAACTATTTATAGGCAAATATGGATTTTATAGATGTTAGTTACAATTGTGAATTGCATAATATGAACTCAACCTTGTTTAGCTTACATTAACACAACGTTTTATGGAGTTTGTTTTTTTTTAAAGACACCAGTTGCTGAAAATTTAATAGTGGCTCAGTTAACATAATGATAATGATATTACATTAATTATTTACCTAAGGTAAAGCAATATATTCTACCTTAAATCCGTTTTGAAGTGAAGTAGAAAATTAAAAACAAAACAAAACAAAACAAGCTAAGGGGCGCCTGGGTTGCTCAGTCGGTTAAGCATCTGACTCTTGATATTGGTTCAGGTCATGATCTCACAGTTGTGATCTCAAGCCTCATGTTGGGCTCCATGCTGAGCATGGAGCCTGTTTGGGATTCTCTCTCCCCTTCCCCCACTCCCTCTCACTCTCAAAATAAATAAATAAACTTGAAACAACAAAACAGGGGCACATGGGTGGCTCAGCTGGTTAAGCTCAGGCCATGATCTGGTAGCGGTTCATGAGTTTGAGCACCACATCAGGCTCTCTGCTGTCAGCTCAGAGCCACTTCAGATCATCTGTCCCCTTTTTTCTCTGCCCCTCCCTCACTCATGCATGTACTTTCCCTCTTTTTCTCTCTCACTCTCTCAATCAAAAATAAATAAACATTAAAAACAAAACAAAACAAAACAAAAACAAGCTAAGCTTCAAATTCTAAGCTACTTACCCGGGTTGCTATCATTGGTACTCAGTACAGCATCTGTGTCATTAATGTGATGAATAAAATCTAAAAATTAGAGAAAAAAATACATTTTAATACCAAATAAAAGACGTTAAACTGATCACCCTCTAAAATCTTTGATCTTTAAAAATCTTTTAAGATCTAGCATGGGGTAATACACCTAGTACAAGGAACAAAGACTGCTTCATTGTTAACACAGCTTCGCCTTTGTCATTTTTCTGTACTTATAGAAATGATGCCATTGACTTCAGAGTTCTCACTATGGAAAATTTTCACATGATTGAGGATTAAAAAAAAAATCTAGCCACAAGGCAGAATTTAGTTAAAGCCCTGGAATCAAACTGTACAACTGTTTTCTTATACTCACACTAATTTATATGTAAGTATAGTTACACCTTATATAAAGAAGGGGAAAACCAACACTTATAATAGCCAAGCTTATCAGGAGAACCACTTAAAGTTTTTAGAAAGTATACTACATGCTTTTATAGACTGACGGTTATACAGTAATTATTACTCACAAGAACCACTAAATTACACCAAAGGAAGTAGCAAAGTTAAAAGCATATGCAGATATCTGAGCATTCATATTATTCTATAGTTAATGAGAGAATGGGTAAAGAATGTGTTTTCTTGTTACTTTATTCTGTTTGATATTAATTTTTTATAATCTTAATAAGCATTAAAAAGTGATGATAAAAATGTTGGATTAGATTTTCAGGTCATAAAGTTAAGTATGTGAATTATTCATCTTCACTTCCACTGTATGCTTCTCAAGATAAAAGGAGGAGTTTAGTGCTCTAGGTTTTTATGCTATCTTCAAGGGTTATTAGTGATAAGATTGGAAGTTATCAATCTTTATATACGTCGTGATGCCAAAGACTTAAATAAGGCTAGTAAAACCCTGATACCGAGTATACTAGGTTAAAGAGTCTCCCCCCAAATCCATGCCCATAGGAACCTTAGAATGTGATCTTATTTGGAAACAGGGTCTTTGCAGATATAATCAAGTGATGATAAGGTTGTATTGGTTAGGGTAAGCCGTAAATGAATTTTACGGCTTCTTCACCAGAAGCTAGGAGAGGCAAGGAAGGAGCTTTCCCTAAAGGCTTCAAAGGGAGCCCTAGTGACACTTCAATTTTGGACTTCTGGTTGCCAGGACTCTGAGAATAAATTTCTCTTGTTTTAAGCCAAAGAGTTCACAGTAATTTTTACAGCAGCCCTAAGTCTCAACAAGGACAGTGTGAGAAAAGAAAA